ATGTAAAATGAACTGTTGTGACCGGTCGGAATTAGCTCATGATAACTTCATAAATCTTGCCTTTTAGTTATTTAGGAGTTAATTTATTTAATAGTAATAGTAAAGGAGGGGCAAGATGTCTAGGCAGGGTGGCACACCTCTTCAGTGAAGTAGGTGAAATTCTCCTATATGTAAATGGAATTAACAAAATATCCACAAAAACACTTAAAAACTATTTATATGCATCATTGCCTCTTCTAAGAAAACAAAGAGAAGCTGAGTTTTACAAGTTTTATAGTAGAAAAACTATTGAAAAACTGTGGCAGTACAGTGTGCTGATTAGAAATGATTGTGTGGTTCTTTCACCTATGCTGAGCCACTACACGGACTCACCTACTGCGTTTCACTTTAAACCCTGACTGTACTCATTTTACTTTCACCCACAATCAGAACAGAAAATAGTTATTTTTTAAAATTCTTTTTCACTGCATTTAAAGCACATCCATTAGAATTAAATCCGAAAATGTTTTATTATCATGCACTAACCGTATTTTATTCTTATATTAATATAATATACCATGGTTCAGTTACCTTTGTACAAATGTGATTAATTGAATTGTGCTTTAAGGAGATTATTTTTACTTTCATACTTTGAGTACATTTCAGAGCCTGTACGTTTTCACTTTTACATTATGGAACGCTATCACGTTAATACCAGAGGATGCTCGGTACTAGAGTTGGATGTCTCGAGACCGGTCTTGGTCTCTAGACCACGTGGTCTTGGTCTTGTCTTGTCTCGACGGACTTTGGTCTTGGTCTTGCCTTGGGCTAGGATCCCTCGGTCTTGTCTTGGTCTCGCTGTCTCGGTCTTGCTGTCTCAGCTCGACATAGTGGTCGGGAGAATTGGAGTCAACAGTATCCATGACACACAACATAACGTTCGATAATGTGTCATGCACAAAAGCATCACCTCTAAGAGCCGTGCTTACAGAGTGCTTTGTAGTGAATCAGAAGAGTCGACTCCCATTGAGCGAGAGCCGGCTCCTCACTTAATTTCCTTTCGCTGCTCAGCTCTCACACAGTGGCTCAGCTATGCTCCAAGCAATATATATATATTTTTTTTTTTCAGCTCCAAGCTGGACACACGACCTGAGAGATCTACTGTTCACTGAAACCACATCAGGAATGGTCTCGGTAGAAAAGATGGCTGTCAAGATGTAATTTTTAAAGACGGAAAAAAAATCTAAAAAAGAATAAGGTATGCCAAATTACACAACAACTGGACAAATGGAAAATCAGTGGCAACTGGTCATATGAATGAATCCAAAAGTGAAACTCCTGAGTTAAATAATTTGAAATTTGAACACAGAAAAGTACCATCAGATTTGATCCATCATGTGTCAATGTGTCAATCAGTGCTTCATTTTATGACACGACAATGATCCCAAACACACTGTTATTCCAGAAAAAGCATACCCGGATAGAAAAACACAATAAAACACTATCAGTCATGGACCGAGCTCCCCAGAGTCTGGACCTCAACTTCACTGAAGCAGTGTGAGATCATCTTCACAAAGAGCAGAACAAAAAGCGGTCAGCATCCAAAGACAGCTTTAAACATTCTTCAAGAAGCCTGCAGAACTATTCCTGAAGACTACTTAAAGAAATGAGAACAAAGCTGCATAAGAGAGTTCAGACTGTGTCGAAGAAAAAAAGTGGTCGTACCAAATATTGAT